AAAGAACCACATAAATAGCAACATTTTAAAACCTAAAAAGACTGGATTTTCTCCAAGTAGCATTTATTTCCCCTTTTTTAAAATGTCTTTTAAGACTCACCTGCACACCAAATAAAAAGGGGCAATAGCCATGTCAACCCACATCCCTTCATCTGCTTCAAAAAACATGCCCATCCTTCCAAACTGAAGCACATGTGGATGAGTTCCAAAGCAAAAGCTTCATGGCTGACCAAAACTGAACTAAGATCTCAAAATGAACACACCCTCATGGAGAAGAAAGGCAGCACACAACTAAAAGTGACCTGTTTCTTAGGCAGTGAAGCCTCAAAGCCTTTTTTAAGAACTTTTAGCAAGAAAAAGCTGGCAAATCCCACCAGCTCCATGTTCTATGAGCCTCTCCTGGCTGCTGGAAAAAAATAGTTTCCTGCTTTTAAATGTCTCCTAAAGGTTCTGCTTGTTCTAAGTGTCTACAGCCACAGGCTAATTCTTTTAGCAAATTTCATTCTTAAGACTTGAAATCAGCTCTGGAGCCATGAGGAGTCACAAGAGAGGGTTGGGTGGCAATCCAAATGATTGCCTGAAGTGTAAGCAATGAGCACCTCCCTGGCACAAACAGCTCCATCTGATCCTCCTGTCAAGGGACTGAGGTGCACAAAGAGCTGGAACTGAGGGTATCAGCACAGCAGTCATGAAAATAGTTGCATGAATAAGATGGAAAAACCATTACCAGGCTCTGGCAAGGAAATTTTCATCTCAGCCTTCACTCACTGAAGTGCTAAAAAAAGACTGATATTCAAAGGCTACGAGGTGAAATTTAGAGGCTCTTGTTTAAAAAATGAGGAACTGGGACAAGTTGAACACTGTTTCATAGCCTCCAAAATGGTAAGACACAGGATTTCCCCCACTTCACTATTCATGATGAACTGGAAATTAAAGGGATGTCCAAAAAAATGTCCAGGGATGTCCTGGTTTCAGCTGGGATGGAGCTAATTTGCTTCTTGCTAGCTAGCCCAGCACTGCATTTGGGATTTAGCAGGAGATTTGGTATGAGAAGAATGTTGATAATACAGTGGTGTTTTCAGTTGTTGCTAAGAAAACAAAGACTTTTCAACTTGCTCTGCCAGGGTGTGAGTGCACAAGGAGCTGGGAGGGAGCACAGCCAGAGCAGTGGATCCAAACTAGCTGCTGGGATATTCCCTATCATGCCATGTCCTGCTCAGCAGAGATGAGAATTGGCTGGGAAGTTGGATCTGTCTTCTGGGATGACAATTTTGACATCTCTCTCCTCCAGAATCACTAGGCAGGGATGGGCTGAGCATTGGGCAGCTGCACTGTGCATCATTTCTATTATTACTTCAATGATGATGTTTTTATCTCAACCCACAAGTTTCTTCAGCTTTTTGATTCTCTCTCCCACTCCAAGGGGGCAGGGGAGAGGGAGGGAACAGCTGCCTGGTATTTAGGATCCTGAAGGGTTAAAACCACAACAGGGAATGGCAACAGGAGGCTCTGAGGCTCACTGGTCAACCCTTGCATCCACGGAACCAAGTATTCCATGTTATTCCTCATCCTAAAACTCCCACCTCATTGACCAGAAAGCAAAATGTGGTTTTCTTGCCTCCTACTTTACAACCCAACCAACATCAACCCCTTCCTGTTGAGTCCCAAGTTGTTTTTCTAACAGAGCACAATTCTGCTCCATATTCTCCAAGGAATTTGCTAGATCCAGCTTCAATGAAGATGAAGAGACTCCAATGAGTACTGTTTTAATAGACTTCAGATGATAAACCTCATGATGTTTTGGAGAAATCAAACTGGAAAGTCAGTGGCAAGAACCCACAATCTGTGCCCATCCAAAGACAAGACACAACAATCACCAGTAAAAGCAGCAAGTCTCTTAACTTTAATGGAGCTTCATTTAAAAATGAATCAGCATTTTCCCTTAGATCACCCAATTATGAACATGTTTCACTGCCTTAAAACAAAGGATCCACAAAGTGTCAGAAAAATCATGTAGCTCGTGGTTAATCAATGAGCCTAGAGACTGGTCCTTCATTGGAAACCAGCAATAGTGGGGCTGCAAAATTCAATTTACTTCCCATCTGCATGAATTTTGATCCCATCACAACCCACTGAAGTCTCTCCAGCCCCTCTGTTTTCCCCTGTGTGAACCTTGAAGCTCCTGATTATGACAAAAAATACCCAGTTCACCTGAAGACAGGTTAAAAAAAAAAAAAACAACAACTTAAAAGCAGCCAGAACACTCAGACACTTCCTCAGGTGTCACCCAAAATCTAATGGAATTGGCCCAAACCTGACAGCCTCAGGGAAGGCAGGAGGCATCAGAACCTCACTCCAAAGGTTAATACATCCTTCATGTGCCTTCTTACATGCTCCAAAAGTCACAAGAGAAATTAAATGTCACTCCTTAGATATCTTTGGTCTAAAGACAGGCAGGACAGTGCAAGATTCTCATGATTAAAAGTGTCATTCCTAACTTTGAAACTCCTGCTGTTGAGACATGAACAAAAAAAGACTCCCAAGAACATCCTTTCTTTTTTATCAGGAGGATCAGCTGCCAACAAAATTCCTCCCATCTCCTCCTGTCTGCCAACAGACAAAAAAGCTGCAGAGCCATCCAGGATCCACAGGACACTGGACTTCTTTCAGTTTAGAGACCAGGCTTCCCACAGAAGAACCTGCCCAATTTCTTTGGGTACTTCCCAATGGGTCATTTTTCCCTCCTAGCTCAGTCTAGTGTATCTTGGAGGCACCTGATGACCACCTAAAATGTCTTCTCCTAAAAGCTAAAATAAGGGAGAGTGATGAGAGTGAAGGGATGGGAGGAATCTCAAGTTCAGATGAAGAACAGAGCAGGGAAAGCTTGAAAAAATAAATGTATTTTGTCTTCCAATCTGTCAGTCACCTCAGGATTTTATTTTACCTATAAAATAATTTAAAAAATTAATCTTATTAAAAGAAAACTACTAGGTAAGATGGCCCTGACTACTGACCCTCCAGGGCAGCACACCCTGCACCCCAAACACCTCATCTCCCTACTTGAAGTCTTCAAATGCTCCAGCTCAGCAGGTTCAGAAGCATCAATCACCTGTGAAACAGTGGCAGAGACAGAGAGGTATCTTTGCTGGACAATTCCTTCAGCCTGCTTTTTATTTCAGATAAAGAAGGCTCTTCCAGGTGATCTTTGATGCTGTCTCACCATCTCTCCTTCCACAGTCTTTCCTCCCCCCTTTCTTTATTCTGGTTTTCAGTTCTTTTTTTATTCCTCAAGTTCATCTGTGCCCCTGCTTGTGCTCTTAAAGGGGTTCAAAAATTATTTACAGGAGAAGTCACGACTGCAGGTGTCTCCTAATGTGTAGTCTCTGCTCCTTCCTGTCTGAGAAAATAAACACAGCAAAAAAAACACAAAACAACCAACCCCAAGTTAATTTAAATAAATTAAAATGGACAATGACCAAACCCAGCAGCTTTTTGTGGAGCAGCTTCTATTTACACGCAGCTGTAAAAAGGGAGATTTGGAGATGTGATGCATCAGTCAGACCTGAGCCATCAGCTCACTCACCTACCAAGTGCTTAAATAAAAAATGACCTGTTAAATGCATTCAGCTCTGCCCCAATCAACGTGGCACCCAAAAAAAAAAAAAAGCCTATTAAATGTGCAGCACCTCCAGACAAAACAGTTTTGCAGCAGCACTTTTAATCCCTTATCCATAATCAATTATCCTATCACATTATGTAATTAGAATTGCTTCCAGAAGGTGACTGGTCATTCATCAGGAGACCATTTTCCTTCTGTCTCCACTCTTGAAACCTTTTTTTTTTTCCTAACAGATCAAAAAAACGTGTTTTTTTTCTTTTCCTTTTCAAAATAATTTCTCCCTCTGAGCAGCTTTTTCCACCTCAACTGCAAACTTAAAACTAAATGTGAATCCACACAAGTCAGGCCTCCAAATTCAGGCAGTAAAGGAGCAACGTAGAAAAATAAAAAGCTTCTTCTCTTAAAGGAACAGGCAAGTTACCAACTTCATTGGTTTTATCCTTAAGGGGTTTTTACCCTTAACTGAAATCATAATAGTACTTTCCCCCAAGAAAACTACCACTTATTTCTTCAGCTTTGCCTTCTTGCAGTGGTACCCAAAGCATTTCTGAAAACACACAGCTGTGCATGAGCATGATTTTAGCCTGAAAAACACCTGCAGTTCCTCATAACAGCAGCCACAGACATATTCTAGTCTTCCCTTTCACTCAGGAGTCTCTTAATTACTTTACAGAGGACCCCTCAGCCACTTCAAAATAATGACAACAGCCCATTCCTTGATGGGGAGGCAAAGCCATACAAGGACCTGTCAAAAGCCACACAGCCTCATGCCCTTCCCATGAAGAAAATGAAAACCAAAGAGCATCCATCCTGGAGAACTCTGGAAGTGCTCACAGGCAGCCACTGCTCACCCAGCCTTTGGGACACACTTGCCTGCTCACAAGATGCTCATCCCCCCCAAGCCTGACATGAGGAGAGGTGGAAATTCTGGCCCAAACTTCCCATTTCAGCTTCCCCAGCCCTGGGAAAGTCTGCAGGTGTGGCAGAACTCCCATGATCTGCTCCACAGAAGAGGGTTAGTGTCACACAACAGGGTAAAAGCATCAGTCAGCCTGAGGCAACATGTTTAAAGCACAACACCCCTTCCTCATCATGAAGGTCACAGGTAGTAAAGAGCCAAATTTGCTGAGGGGGAGTTGTGGCAGAGGAGAAACTGTTCTCCATTTCCAGCCCTGTCCCTCCCAAGTCCCCCACACACACACCCAAGAATGAGTCTCAGGTCAGGCTGAGATGCTGCAAGTGGGATGGAGAGCTCTGAACACCCTCCCAACACTCACAAGCTCACACCAAGGTTTTACAGTGACATTAACAAGGCTTTTAACACCTTCTACCTGCCAGTGAAACAAGGTCTAGCAGCTGCTTGCTCAACACTAGAAGCATTTTAAAGTGAAAGATCACTAGTCACTTCCTGCTGCTTGGCTTGCACAAGCAAGTGGAGCTGTCTCTTGGCAATGGCTGTGTTTAAATCCCACAGGAAGTCCAGGAACTTGCCCTGCAGGAGAACCTCCATGGGCACAAACTGCAACACCTGCTGGGGGGAGCCTGTGTCCAGTAAAGAGCTGAGGATTTGGTCCAGATGCTGCAGGTACTCAACAACTGGAGCTTGGAGGCCTTGGAAACCCACACACAGCAGAGCAGCACTAGTCCTCAGAGGCTGGTGGGAGGTGGGACCAGCAAAGGTGACACATCTGAAAGAGCAGTGCAGGATAAAGACCAGGCCAGCTGTGAAACGTGTCAAACAAGAGAGAACAGGCAAGATCAAGGAGTCTCCCACTGTGAGCTGAGCCAAGGAGTGCAGAAGACACTCCAAAAGCTGCTGCTGGTACTTTGGTTCTCCATCATAAAGCAAGGAGAAGCTGAAATCCATCAGTGTGGCTGAGTCCAGGAGCTGGATTTCCATCCCAGGTTGGCTTCTAGCATCAGAGAAGGATGGAAAGCCCACCACGAGGCACTTGAAGTGGTCCCTGCACCTTTCCTTTTGGATTTCCTGATGACACCTGGAAAGATCCAACACTTCTGCCAGTATCACCTCCCCAGGAAGAACTTCACAGGAGGGACAACTCTGCAGCATCTGGCTGAGCTTCAGCTCCCCACCCCCCAAGTCCCTCATGGCTTCATTAAGATTGGCCAAGACTTGACCATCACAAAATGGAGAATATTTTACCACTGGGAGTCTTTTTCCTTCCAAAATGTACCACAAGCCACACTCCAGGTTGGAAGGTAACCTTTCCAAGATGCACATTTTACCAGCATTATTTAAACTATGTTCTTCAGCCCAGTGATTAAAATAGCCCTTTGCCACTTTATCATTCCACGTGAGGGTCTCCAGCATCTTCCTCTCATTGTATGTCCTAAAATACTTGGTTCTTTGCCCAAACCACTTTGCATTCATGCTGCAACCAGCCTGAGATTTCTTGACCAGCCAGTTACTCCTGGCAATGGGTTTCATGTGAAGCCTCTGCATGAAGAACTCCACTGCACAGTCTCTCAGCTTGTTCAGTTTGGCCTGCTCTGCCTCTTCTGTGTGCCCAAAGAGATGGATGTTCTCAGAGATAGTCTCTACCTGCCACCTGTGGAAGAACATGCAACACTCCTCGTGTATTTTAAGAAAAGATTCTGGTAGCACGTGCTGAGGGAAAAGAGCTTTGTTGACCATTTCTGTTCCAAAGTTCTGTATCATCTTGGAAAGCAGCAGGTAGATCCCTTCCCTGCCCATGTAACGAAGACAGACCACGTAGGCCTCTGAGTTCCCAGCTTTGCTAGTGGCTGGCTTAAAGACATGGCCCTCCTCAAAAGAGCAGTTCAGCGGGAAGAGCATGTTGGTAGAACGGTGTTCAAACAGGGTGAACATCTTCAAAACCAACGAGCCCCCAGTGCCCAGGATCATCAAAGCAGTGACAGCCTCGCAGTAAAGGAGGGGTGAGACCAGAGCCTCCTGCTCACCTGGATTTCCCTGGCAATCAAAGCTGCCATCAGCAGTGACCAAGTGAACTGTGCTCATGTGGCTGACAAAGCTCTGAAGCCCCGTTAGATGCTTCAGAGTCATCACATCACCAGTGTTATCTGGGCCAAAGTACCAGCAGGGCAACGTGTTCGCTATGAGCCGGTCGTCCATGATCATGATGAGGGTGTCGTTGGCTTCGTGGTAGGGGTTGAGGGTGTTGGCCACCCAATTCCAGTCACAGGGGACCTGCTGGGATTTCAGGTAGTGGTTGAGGCTGGCTATAAAAGCTCCAGGTGCCTCACAGAGGTGGACAGAGTTCAGCTCTCCCTCCTGAAGAGCCTCTTCAGGGAGAAGAGGGAACGTGCACAGGATCTCGTGAAACTTGCACCAGGCCTGGGTGCACAGCTCAGCATTCACTGCTTTCTTCACATGGGGGATTATTTTCCCTGCTTTGTTGGTAAGCGAGGTGTGCTGGTGCCACTCCTCCAAATTCTTATCACTCAGCTGGTTCTTCACTTCATTCATGGAGTCCTTCAGAGCCAGGAGTGAGTCCAGCTCCTTGTGATCACACGTGAAGGCATCGCTGGGATTCGGGAGCTGCCAGTCATTGTTCACAGGCTTCCTGTAGGAAAACTTCTTTGTGAAGAGCTTCTCAATTTCAGACACAATTTCAGGACCGAACTTCTCAAGGTTTGTAGCCTGGTCAGCACAAGGCTTCTTGTGTTTGTTCATCCTTGGATTGATTCACAACCTGGAGGACAAGCAGGGGAGAAGGAACAACATTACCCCAATGATGCAGAGAAATAAACAGGCCAAGTTGTTGTTTTTTCCAGGAAGGAGAAGTTTCTCTTGCTTAACCTCTGTATGACAGAGAGAAATGCTTCCCAGAATCATGCAAGGATGAGGAAAATAAATACTGCCCTGAGTAAGACCGATTTGGAAATCAAGAGGTGAAGAGGTTCAGTCTCACCCCATTTACATGGGAAGTGAAGAAGAGTTGGCAGCTGCTTTGGCTCCTCTCTGACCTCTCTGCTCACTCTGTAGGTTTGAAACACTTTCAAGTGTTTCTGTGAAGAGACCTGGGTGAGAGGTTCAACACCAGCCTCCTGTGCTCAGCACTGCAGCTGCCAGGCCCCTGCAAATCCTCACCTCTCAGCTCCTCTCTGCTGGAAAAAAAAAAACAGCCCTAAATTTGAAGTGAGAAGAGACTTTTTTTGCAGCTGTGTTCAAGGTTAAAGGAGCGTGAAGTGTGGGTGCTCTGAGCAGAGCAAGGCAGGCTGAAAACCCCACCACAGAGCCTGTGTCCTGTGCACAGCACAGAGCAACACCAGGTTCAACTCACTCTCCAGAAACCAGGCAGCAAGAATGCAAGGGCTGTTTAAGCAAAATAACTCAATCAAAGTCACCGGGAAACTCGTTTTAACCACTCCCGTTCCTCAGAAGCGAAATGCAACGATCTGAAGGGCTACAAAGCAGCGTGGAAAGAAACCTGGAGGGAGATTTAAGGGGTTGGGAAAGCAGGGAACCAGCACAACCCACCTCAGCACCTGATTCTCCCCCTGGGAGCTCCTCAGCCGGGGCTGCCTCCTCTCCCAAGCACCAGCCCTAAAGTTAAACCCTCTCAGACCACCAGTTTTCATTTTCGTTTCCCCGATTCGGCCGCCTGTCAGTTTAGTTTCACTTTCCTTCAGGCAGAAACACTTTAATCTCTAGACAAAGCAGCGCCGGGGAGAAGAGGAAACCCGAGGGGAACGCAGGGCAACCCTGAACCAGTTTAACTCCATTTTTAAACACCCACCACCAGCACAGCCTTTAATTACAGCTCACACCTCACCCCAAACCAGACGAGGAAGCAGCCAGACAATCACCTGCCTGGCTTTTTAAATTTTTTCCCCCTCTTTTAAAATAATTTCCAGCCCTGATCAAGGTCACTCCCCCGCATACATTAAAACCAAACCATGCCCAGCCAGAGGAGGGAGGGGGTGAAACACAGGGCTCAGAAATCTACAGCCCCTTGGCAAAAAAAATCGCTCTCCCCGCGGTGAAACCCGCAGCGCGGCCTTGCACCTCCACCCCATCCCCGGCCCCCAGCAGAGCCGCGCCCCGGGGGAAGCGCCTCCCCGCGCCGCCCGCTCGCTACGCGAGGCCGGGGCTTCACTGCGGCCTAGCGGAGCTTCCCCCATCGCTTACCCAGCCGAGCAGGCCCGGCCCTTCGTCCCACGGGGCTCAGGCACCTCCCTCTTGGTTTAAATACATAAAACGCGGCGGGGATTTGCTCCAGGGAGCGTTTGGTGCGGAGATGGGGGTTCAGGAGAAATAATAAAGGTTAGGAGTGAATTCGGGGAGCAGAGCGGTGCCCAGAGGGGTTCGGGGAGGAAAATAAAGCAGCAAGGAGGGGAGGTTTGTGCTCATCTGGGCTGGATGCTGCAGGGAAGGAGCAGGGGAGCTGCCTCCCAGCAGGGACAGCCTGAAATAAGTGAGAAATGTGCGTAGAAGTTGCTCAGGTAGCACTTAAAACACTGTAATGTTTACAGGGGTTTGGAGAAAAACAACAAAACAAGGAAAGGTTTGTGATGAACCCTCAGAGGGTAAAAAAAAACCCTCACCTGAGCTGGTTTCTGCAGTGGCAGCCTGAAATAAGTGAGAAACATGGGTAGAAGTTGCTCAAGTAGCAGTTAAAACACTGTAATGTTTACAGGGTTTTGGAGAAAAACAACAAAACAAGGAAAGGTTTGTGATGAACCCTCAGAGGGTCTGTGCTCTGTGTCTTTTCCTGCCCAGGGGGTTAAAAACACCCTCATCTGAGCTGCCTCCCAGCAGTGACAGCCTGAAATAAGTGAGAAACATGGTTAGAAGTTGCTCAGGTAGCACTTGGAGCACCCTAATGCTTACAGGGTTTTGGAGAAAAACAACAAAACAAGGAAAGGTTTGTGCTGCACCCATAGAGGGTCTGTGCTCTGTATCTTTTCCTGCCCAGGGGGTTAAAAAACCCCAAATCTGACCTGGTTTCTGCAGTGACAGCCTGAAATAAGTGAGAAACATGGGTAGAAGTTGCTCAAGTAGCACTTAGAGCACCCTAATGCTTACAGGGCTTTGGAGAAAAACAAAACAAGGAGGGCAGGTTTGTGTTGCACCATCAGAGGGTAAAAAAAACCCCTCACCTGAGCTGGTTTCTGCAAGAGGGAGCAGAGGAGCTGCCTCCCAGCCTGAAATAAGTGAGAAACGTGGGTAGAAGTTGCTCAGGTAGCACTTAGAGCACCCTAATGCTTACAGGGCTTTGGAGAAAAACAAAACAAGGAGGGCAGGTTTGTGTTGCACCATCAGAGGGTAAAAAAAACCCCTCACCTGAGCTGGTTTCTGCAAGAGGGAGCAGAGGAGCTGCCTCCCAGCCTGAAATAAGTGAGAAACATGGGTAGAAGTTGCTCAGGTAGCCCTTGGAGCACCCTAATGCCTACAGGGTTTTGGAGAAAAACAACAAAACAAGGGGAGAAGGTTTGTGCTGCACCCTCAGAGGAAGGGCTGGGGTCTGTGCCCTGCATTTTCTCCCCATGAAGACCCTGGGCTTGTGCCCTCCAGAGCCAAGCTCCCTCCTTCCCCAGCCCTCTGGCTCCCACGTCTCAGCAGTTTCTCCATCCCAACCTCCATCCCTGGACCCAGCAGCTCCTCCAGGGTTCCCTCTGGCCTCTGCAACCCACAAGCAAATCCTTCAGGAGGCTCTTGCAGATGTTCACCCACTTCAGTGCCCTTCCTCAATGCCCAGGAGGCTCATTACACCCAGCTTGGCTTAGCAGGAGGCAAGAAGCCATGAAATACTAACAGCAAGAACCAGCACCCCCCCCCCCTCCATTGCAGCATCTCTGCAAACACACACACACGCTTTTTTTAGCCAGCAAACCACCCTCTAACCTGCAAACAGAGGCAGGAAGGTCAAAGCAGATTAATTGCTACAACTGCCAAAGCAAACAAGATGCTCTGGAGGTTTTAAACACTATGTTTTCTATAGACAGGTGAAGGAAGGAGGCACTTGGCAGCCCATTAAGGAGGAAACCACCAACCATGTGGCATGAGTTAGCAGAAATCCTCTCCCTTTAATGCCAGGTTTGACTTTTACACTCTCACATAGGTGTTTTTTTTTTGGATGAGGCACAAGCCACCTCTAAGCCAGAATAGCACAGAAATCCAGTGCTTTTAAGGATGAAAGATTTCAGGATGAGAAGAACTGGAGAAAACGTTGCTAGAAAACAATCAGCAAAAAAAACCAACCACAGCACATCTATCTTAAAGATTTAATAGGAACACACAGATCAATTCTCTTTTAAACTGCTCTGGGTACATTAGAGAAGTTACATATTAAAGTTAGAGCTAAATACATCAAGTCTGTGAACAACCTCCCTCCCCTTCTTAAGCTATTTATGTCCTTTCTAAATTCAAGATATATTGTTACAAAACCAAAGGGACCTTAGGCATAGGGAACACTTTTTACCTACAGACATCAATATAGCACTTTAAATCCTTTGGGGAAAAAAAAGAAAATGCACCTTTAAAGCTAAAATTACCATATTCACCTCTGATAAACTGCAAGCACAAAATGAACCCCCTTGGCTGCTCCATTGTGGAGAAGTTATGGGAAGAGTCTGGGGGGAAGATTTATATCCAGGTCATCACCCCCTGATTGGACTGTTTGAAAATCCCTTTCCAACCAGTCAACACCTTTGGCTACTTAAAGGCAGGTGGAAGCTGGGCCAAATTACCTAAAAGCTATTGAGTTGCTGGTGGGGGATGTAGCTGAGCTTTTCTGGGGGGTTCTTTTTGCTTGTACAAGGCTTGAGGTGATGCCTTTTTGCAGGTTTACCTTCTCTTTAGCCCACCAGAACTGAAGGTTAATGGGAATGTCAGAGACACTGTAGTTTGAGGTGTTGTTTTCTTGTGTTTTTAGGGAAAAATAAGCCTGAGCAGAGGTTTCCTTGCTCTTCTCCTGCTGTCCCTGCCTGCTCACACCAGCCACAAGACTTGCCCTGACAGAATTTGTGGACAACAGGTTGTTCTAAGTCACTAAGCTAAAGGTAATTAATCTCTTAAGCACTTTCATCACCTCTTCGTGTGCTTTTGGGTTCTGAAGTGCTTGAATCACACCAACAAGAGGACAACTTACAATTCAGGACGTGTGGAGTAAAGCAGCATGTAAGTAAGAAAAACTCTTCCCCTTGTTGAGTCCTGCCCTGCTGGGCTTTTCTCACAGCTTGTGCTACTCAAGATGAGGCTCTCCCAAAATCCAGGGATGGGGGGAGCAATTAATCCCTGACCATGCAGCAAGATTCTAAGCTGAAAGAAATAAGAACATGCTTAAGAAAAATAGGATGGGGTTGTGGGTTTTTTTAAAAATTGAAAGCTTTCATTCTATTTGTGAGCCTCAGTTTTCCCCCAATGTTTTTATAGATGTTTTCAAGTTAAAGCAGGAACAAAAATTGATACTTTCATTTTATGCTGAATAATATCTTAATTTTTTTTGGTCTATGTAAGAGGCCCAGCACTTTCCTCCTGGATTAGCCCCACTTTTGTGGAACTCATCTTCTAGGAGATGGAGAAAAATCAGCTATCAGATCATCAGATGTGTGCCCAGCTGGTGCCCTGAACTGAAATATGGCTTTAAAGGAATGTGGTGCAGTTAAATATTGGAAGCTGGATGTGTCATCAAGAACAAAGTAGACTTGTTTATGCCTCTGACTTCTTTT